CTTACGCCGCAATTTTGGCCTCCGTGAAGATTTGATTTAAAAAACAAATCTCCCCGGCTAACCTAGTCGCAACGCAAGGTTTTGCCTCTCTTTTTCAGACCTAGGCGCTTTAACGCCAAGTCACCGCTATCGTGCTTACATTCACGATATGAACTAAAAAGTTCAGCTCGGACTTGGTCGTCTCTACGCTTCGGCGGTGTCGCTCCTCTCACTGCTTGGCACGTCAGCTCCGTTCGACTGCTCGAGTCGAACTTTTAACTCAACTGACTAACGAACTTCTGGGCATCGTACACCTATATTTATATCAAAATAATGAGGTCAACTGTAACCGTCGTTAACGGACTTTTTAGCTAAAACTATGATTGGTTTGTACGATACCAGAATACAGATTTTTCTAATTATGATTGGTTGCAATTATTTTGCAAATTGACCAATCACAATTTGGGAAAAATCTGGCGAAGGCGACAAACAGCTAACCCAACCAAAACCAGTCGGCGGTAAACTGAACGGTTTACGTTGACTGAGAATTTTTCGTGTAAGATAAATCAGGATATCACTGATTTAGTCTTTTTTAAGACTAATTACAGTGATAAATCAGAATTCGCTAACAAAATTTCTAGAATAATTTCAGGAACCAATCCAATAAGGAAGGAATTCCCACTTCATAGAAGTCTCCATAAAATCAGGACAAATCGGCCCACCTCAAGGAGAGGTGGACCCGCCCAGGATAAGAAGTTACAAAATAACTCCACGGAAGAAATAGAGAAAATTCAGGAAAAAACAAGCGAGATGGCTGAAAACACAATAGAAATCATGGAAGAAGAGGTCTTTCAACCAGTGAAAAGAAATAGGAGAAACTCAAAGGAAGAAATAAGACACCAGGCAACAACAAGTTCCGGAACAGGATCCGGAATCGCTACCTATAACAGGTACCAAGTACTCGAGAAAATTACCACAGAAGAGAAAAATACCCAGGAAAAGAAGGAGAGAATTCCACCATTAGTAATAGCAGGACAGATAAGAAGTTACTCCAATTTCATAAAAGAAATAAGAGACCTGCTAGGCCACAACAATTTTCAAATTGCCCCCGCAGGAAAGGCGGGAACAAGAATCTTCACAAAGACGTCCGACGACTACGAGAAACTAAAGCAGGACTTAGTGCAAACTAATACTGCGTTTCATACATATACACGCAAATCGGAAGTTACTAAAAAAAAAAAAAAAACTAGTCATGAAGGCGGCTCCAGGAATGGATCTCGACGAAGTGGAGGCTGAACTGAGGGAACAAGGGATCGTTGCCAAAGTAACAGAGATGAAGACTCACAAGGAAGGTAAGACAAGTAAATCCTATCTCTTACAGGTCGACAAGCAACAAGATCTTAAGGAGGTGAAGAAGATCAACGGACTTCAAAATATACGCGTCAGATGGGACGCATACTCCAAACCGACAAGGGCCACGCAGTGCTACAACTGCCAAAACTTTGGACACTCGGCCAGAAACTGTTTTAGATCGCCAAGATGCATGAAATGCGCAGCGAACCACCCAACAAGAAGTTGCCAACTACCAAAAGACAAGAACAACAAAGTAAAATGCTGCAATTGTGGAGGAGACCACACGTCGAACTACCCAATGTGCTCAACACACATTGAGTATTTGGACCAACAAGCGGCCAGAAGAAATAGAAACACACCTCAACAAAAAGTAGCGCCTCCACCGCACCCATCAACGTTCAGGACTACAGTCAGCGGCGTATCTTACGCACAAACAACAAAAGGAGCACCCAGACCAACAGCGGCAGAAGGTATCAAAAACACTTGGGCGGAAATAAACAAGATCGTCAACGTAGAGAAAATGATGTCACTTCTACAGGATATGAAGAGGGAATTAATTTCAGCGAAATCATTTGCAGAGAAAGCAATGATATTTATAAAATACGAAGAGATCTACAATGAACCTTAGGCATCTGAAGATCCTACAATTTAACATAGCCTCCCTACGGCTAAGAATAAACGAACTTCGAGAAACAGTGATACGACACAATCCGGATATCATCTGCCTCTCAGAAACACTCTACATGACGACAACACAACTGCCAAGGATTACAAATTACGATGGATTCGGAAAAAGAGACGTTCCAAACAAAAGAGGAGTGGCAATCTATGTTAAAAACAACATAGAATGGAATCAAGTGGAAATAGAAACAGACCAATTTGAAAATGTGGGAGTCAAAATTGCAAATACTAACATTTTTTCTATTTACAGGTTTAACTCAGATATATTAGCCATCGAAGAATTAGATGCAATGCTAAACTCAGCACCAACCGTCGTCGTAGCCGGAGATTTCAACGCCAAAAGTCGTGTTTGGGGATGTGTTACAGATACAAGATCTGGTAATACATTACTCAGATACTGTGAAGACAGAAACAAGATGATATTTGCTCCTGACGATCCGACAAGAATCAACCCTCAAAGAGATCAAAACAACTCTACGCTGGATTTATTCATCACAAAAGACGTCATAATAGAAGATGTAAAGGCCAACTTTGAATGCAGTTCGGATCACAAACCAGTTACAGGACGGATGACTTCAAGAGTAGACCTCCCCACAATAGAACCAGTAGAAAGATGGAGATGGAAAGACGCTAACTGGCCTAATTACAGGAGACAACTAAACCAAATAGAGATGAAGAGAAACTTCCAATCAATCGAAGAAGTAGAAAGAAAAATCGAAGAAATAACGAGAAAAATTCAACAAGCCATGGAAGACAACATACCAAAAGCAATGACGAACAATAAAGGATTAATCATACCAACGGAACTACAAGACATCATCAAGGACAGAAATAAGGCCAGAAGAATGTTCCAAAGGACGAGAAGACAAGAATACAAGGATTACGGAGACACACTATCGGAGGAAATAAGAGTAAGATTGAGAAGTCTTACTGAAAACCAATGGCACAACAACATCAGGAAAGCGGAAGAAAACCAAGGAAACGTATGGAAAATGCTGAAAGCCAAAAGAAGAGGAAAACAAAAGATGCCACAAATCATCGACAACGAGGGGGTACACTACGAAACTCAAGGAAAAGTGGATGCCATTGCAAGAAGATTAGCAGCTACACACAACCAAAACGAGGATATGTCAGATGCAATAACGAAACACGAAGTTAACACCGAATACAACAGGATAATAAGAAGAAATAATTTCTTAGTAGAAGAAGAAGACTTCACCAGTCCATATGAAGTAGCTAAGATCATCAGAAGACTTAAAGGAAACAGAGCACCAGGACAAGAAGGAATCCACAACATCACCCTCAAAGAACTGCCAAAGAAGGTTATAGTACAACTGTACTATATCTACAAATATTGCTTGGAAATGGGACATTTTCCAAGCAATTGGAAACATGCGAAGATAATTCCACTTCTGAAGCCCAGAAAAGACGGAAGAAGACCAGAAAGTTACAGGCCTATTTCACTATTAGAAACTTTAGGAAAAGTTCTGGAAAAAATCATCTTTAAAAGACTGGTGAAGCACACAGAAAGAAGAAGAATCATACAAGAAGACCAATTCGGATTCAGAAGAGGTAGAAATTGCGAACTTCAACTAGCAAGAATAATCAGCGACACGAAAATAAAATTCAACAGGAAACAAAAAACAGGATTAGCCATACTGGACATCGAAAAAGCATACGACACGGTTTGGAAAAAGGCACTAATTTACAAGATGGACAAAGCAAGACTCCCACATTACTTAATTAATATTTGTGATAAATATTTATCTAATAGAACTTTTCAGGTTTCAGCTGACCGAAAGATGTCAACACTTCAAGAAATCCAGGAAGGAATGCCACAAGGCAGTATTTTATCTCCAATATTATACAATATTTTTGTTTCAGATCTCCCTGCAGATCCTCGAACTTCAACAGCCCTTTACGCGGATGACACTGCCGTATATGCATCCGGAAAAGATGAAAGAAGAATAATCAGGAACATGGAAAACCACCTAGGAAAAATATCGGAGTTCACAGAAAAATGGAAGATAAAAATCAACGCGGAGAAGACACAATTCATCGTTTTTTCACAGGACAGGAGACCACAAAACTACGAAATCACAGTAGGAGGAAACAGGATCCAAGGAACGGACTCAGTGAAGTATCTAGGAGTCCACCTTGACAGAAGACTCAACTTCGGGATGCATATACGGAAAACAAAGGTAAAAGCAAATGTTTCTAAAAAACTAATACTTCCTTATATTTTCAGGTCCAGCCCCCTAACGAAGGCCAAGAAAATCCAATTATACCAGGCCTACGTTAGATCGGTGATGTTATACGCTGTCCCAGTTTGGAGCTCCATAGCAGAGAGCCACTGGAAGAATTTGGAAGCTACAGAAACAGCGTGTTACCGTATAATCGACGGAGCACAATGGGATGAAAGAATAACGAATGCAACCATAAAAGAAAGGCTCCAGTACACACCACTGAGGGAGGTGGCCGAGAAAAGAACAAGAAACTTCTTCCAGGCCACAAGAAGACTCCATAAGACCAGAGACATCCTCGAGAATAACAGGGTCCAGAGGATGCATAGACAAACCCATAAACTGATCGACCACCTGATCAGGGTCTAGCCGTATGGTTGCTGAAAAACAGCATAGCAGGGAAGTAGGTACGATGCCTTAAAAAAGTACCTACAGAAAAAGACGAGGAAACCACCCAGAGAAGTCCAGGATGCCGAGAGGTTGAAAAAGAAGAAGAAGAAGATGGTGCATTAGCGGTACATCAGAAGAAAGAAGGCTAAAATGAATGAAATAAATGACATGTATATTTTATTAGGCAATAAACGTTTTTATTTTTATTTTTATTTTTTATTTTTATATAAGTTTTAAAGTTATTTACGCCGTTTGTATTCGGTCTTCTGCATGATACTATAATATAACTTCTGTTTCTGTCCAGTTTGAGGACAATGACAATGACACGTGTCACTGTCATTAATTGTCATAATCGTTAAATTGATTGGTTTTCCAATTTGGAAAATAAAAACAATATAAAATTTTCTTAGTTAATTAAGTACACAACTTCAAATAGTGATATGATCGGCTGATTCTGACCAACGCCCAAATAAATGGTTTAAATGACTCAAAATAAATTAGTTGAGGTTAAGTCCTTTAAATTTATAATTTTGTTACAAGTATTAGATCTCTAAATAATTTATAATGTAAACGAACTTATGAAAACAAGACAGTTTACGATTATTGTGGTTGTACTGTAGACAAATTGCCCCTTCGTCTCTACAAAGCGGGCTCAGTACAGTTCAGAAGGCTCATCTGTTGCTCCCCTCTAATACATTTAAATAGTTTTAAAGTGAAGTGATTATTTCTTATCGATATTGCAGATGACAGTTATAAAATCAAAAGGTTCTATATCTTGCAATATTTAACTATACAAGCCTTACAGCTTTATCAGAAATATTCATGCATGGTCAAATTTTGGAAGAACTAGATTTTTCAACTTATTTTCATTTAAGGCACCATGATTATACTGTATGTCAGCTCCTCTTATAATATGGAACACCTAATTAAATTTAATACTAAGTATTTGATTCTACCAGGAATTATTTGAAATTCTTTTCTGAAATTCCCCCTATATTATAGCGTGAACCATAATCTTAAAAAAATCATGTTTCCTGTAAATAATTTATTTTTAATTTGCAGTCAGTTATGGATCTGCATACCAAGCAGAGACAATTTTCTGGACAACTGTACAAGTACACAAATGTGATGAAAGGTTGGCAGTACAGATACTTTTTAGTAGATGCCAATGCAGGACTTCTACATTATTTCCTCTGTGAAGGTGAAAAACCTGATGGAACAGTGCCCAGAGGGTCAGTACATTTAGCTGGAGCTGTGATATGTCCAAGTGATGAAGATTCAAAGACCTTTACAGTTAACTGTGCTTCAGGTGATATGTTGAAGTTGAGAGCTACAGATGCTAGAGCAAGACAGGAATGGGTTAATGGGTTGAGGGCTGTGGCAGAGTCTCACACTAAGGTTAGTTGCTACTAAAAAATAAATCCTCTGTATACTTTGCTTCTATAAAAGTTTTTATAAGATGTACTGTCAATTGTGGATGTGGTATTTATAATGACAAATCACATACATTTTTTGTTTCTGAAGGAAAATGTTTCTAAAGTTATGGCATATTTCCTGTAATGGAATAAGCTATCTCTAATAAAGTTGTCCCAGGAAAGTACCTCAGAAATATTATCCATATTATTCGAAAAAATTGCCAACATATTGAAGCTAAGCAAATTTGTGGTATTTAAAATTCTTAATAAATAAATCGTTTAACAAAAACGTACTATTACTATCAGCAATGCGTCTTCTTTTTAAGTATAACTGCGAACTCCATCTATGTTTTTGCATTTTGCGTTTCTTTTTACTTTTTAATAACTTACAGATAAGTATAAAATTAACACAAGCCACAGATAACAACAACTGTTCTTCGGACGACATGTTTTGTTATACAAATGTATGTATTCCAAAGAGAATAGTTAAAACACTCGGATCACTGGCGAGGCAAGCCTCGAACGTCCTCGGTACGGAAACAATTTTTCTATACTTGAGGCATGCGGTACGTCCTCGACTTGCCTCATTCGCTTGCGTGCTCTAGTGAGTACCCAGCTTTAGAAAACATCAATTGCATTAGTTTCATACCCAACATCTGCAAGCTGTAATGCCTAGAGACTTTGTTCTTCACCTATTTTTTCCCAATGGATTCTCTGGAATCCCTAATTTTTTAAATGACAATTTATTTACTAGGTAATGGGGCCACTTTTGGACTACATTGTGTTTGAAATTTACATAACAATCAATGGGCTGGCGAAAATCCACATGGAATCTGTGAAGCTGATTTTCAGCATCAGTTTTCAATAAATGTATGAACACTTATGGTTCATGCACAGTGATGTAGCAGCTGATTTCAGCATTAATATATGAAATCACTTAGATACAGTATATAATATTGTCCTGTTTGATCGCTAAATTTAAATCTACTAGATTTTTTGCATTTGGGGTTTTCTGAAGTCCTTAATTTATTCCAGCCCTGTTAAAAATGTCTGAGAACTCGAATTATAGCTGGCTGTAGGACAACAAGAAATACACCAGGAATATTTGCACAAATATGACAATCAATTTAAAAGATGTTTTAGTTTTTTTATATAAAAATTCGCACCATATAAAAAAAGACAAGGGAGATTTTGTGTCACAAATTAAACCAGAAATTTAAAATTGATTTTTAATTTGAAATATCTTAATGGCGGATCAACACCCTGTATCTCAAAAAACAAAGCATTTGCTGACACATGTTTATAGAGAAAACTGTCATTTTTTCATGCAGAATCACCACCTTAAGTTTGTAGGACTTATTTACTAACATCCTATATATTATTACTATGTATATTACTCTTTAATATCTTTACAGATTTTAACTGATACAGTATTAAAAGCAGAACACAGCTGTGAGTAATAATAATGTTGTTGAGGATAATAATTGTTTTTTTTTTTGACAAATCAACTGTTTATTCTAAGATATATTAAATAGTCTTGTTTATCTTATAGGCAATCAGTGCTAGTAGTCCTCCATTACCTCCAAGGGAGCAATTGGCAGTATTGGATGCTTTAGGATGTGTGAGGTCACAGCTTCAACAAACTGAACAAGCTGATTCTGCTCTTTGTAGGTCTATTGAGTCTGCAGGTAAATATTTATGTTATTTTAGGGGACAGCTTGGTGTATAAAGTATTTCAATGCTTGCTATGTTAAAGTAAATATGATAGTAATTAGTTGTTTAAACATGTTTGAATGAAAACAAATAGTCTACCTACATTATAGTAACAAATACTACAAAAGTATTATAAGACTCTATGTGACCTATGAATGTGAGGCCTGGGTGTTGAATAAAACAATGAAAGAAAGGATGTTGAGGTGGGAACGGAAGATATTGAAGCTATTTTGGGTAGAAAAATCATAGCAGATATTTTGCAAAGAAATAATCATGAATATTTACGACATCACAAAAGCAAAGGATAGAAGACAGTGAAGGACTTTAACACACCAATTTCTTCATAGAGACCAAGGATAACTTTAAAACACTTGAATGTTCAAAAGTCTTACATAGTATGTAATCATTTAAATAATAATGTAATGATTTAATGTAGGCCCTACATGAGACTTCGAGTATTTTAGGTAATTAATAAAAAAATTACCCTTGGTTCCCTTTTATCTCATCTTTGCAACTGTGTTTCTATGCATTTCTCTAAATTCTGTCCTATGAATTTAATATTTTTTTAAATTTATTTTATATGAGGTCTCTTCCAAAAGTATTACATTTTTTCACAATTTCAAGTCAAAACTTTCCAGTGCCTTCTGTGTGGTATCCGCTTAGTCAATCTGCATAAAGTCTTCACCAACTTTCCGTTTACCTCAGTTACCGACTGATAACTAACTGGTAACTGAGGTAAAGAATAAAGTTGTGGAAAACTAGTAATTATGGTTTTAGTCCCTTTAAAAATGGCTTCAAGTGTGCTTGACAGTGATTTGTGTTCTTGTCGACTTTATAGTAAACCGAAAAATATCGAACGGTTGAGACTTTCCATTGAAGAAGATTGTCTTTTGACTATTCGTGAACAACAAAGCGATCTTGAAATTTGGAAAACTAGTTTTCTGATAATTTTAACCAGGAATTTGGGAATGACTCAGGTGTATGCCAAATTTATTCTAAAATTGCTTCCAGTAGAGCAGAAAAAAGATTCACATAGTGAATCAATGATGAAAATATGTCCAAAAAGATTATTACTGATGATGATTCATGAGCTCATATCATGATCCATCAGCCATTCAATTATATCATAAAAACAAGCAATAATTTTTACAATTTAAGCTTCAATCTGAGCGTCCTTTGTTGATTATACGGGTGTTGTGCACCATAAATTCGCTTAAATAGGTGAGACAATAAAAAAAAAAAGTTACATTCTAGTGATAAACAGATTAATTGAAAGCGATTAATGAAAAGGTGTAAAGGGTAGACGACATAGAGACGATTCAAACAAATGTGAGTGTAGCACTGAAGGTCATTACCTAAACTAAATTACGGAACTGCATCAGAGACAGTGACTGCAGAGCAACATCCCGATAGCTATGAAACGGAGGACATTTGACCAATGCGTTCTTCCTGTTGTGACATACGGAGCAGAAACTCTTACGCTCACAAAAACAACAGCACTAAAAATGCGAGTGGCACAAAGGCGCATGGAAAGATCAATTCTCGGCATGACAAAAAAAGACAAAATAAGGAATCAAGATTTAAGAAAAGGAACAGGTATCAGTGATGTCCTCGAACATATAGCCAAGCTGAAATGGAATTGGGCAGATCACATAGCGAGACTGAAAGACACAAGATGGACGAGAAAACTAATTGACTGGCGCCCACGAGAAGACAAACGCAGCAAAGGACGACCACCAACACGCTGGATGGACAACATTAGACGAATATCCAAGAAATGGCAACAAGAAGCACAGAACCGTGAAGAGTGGCGAAAAATAGGAGAGACCTATGTCCAGCAGTTGACAGAAGAGTTTGCATGATGATGATGATCAGTGACTTAAAGTACCGATGGGAGTCAACCTTTGATCAGGCTTTATTTTGTTCTGTTGTTATTCACATCAAGGTCAGATACTTTTGGGACATCTCTCATATCTCTTTTAATTTGTTTATTTTTGATAATTTTAAGACATTTTACTACCGACCGTGTATTACCTACAATGTAGCATCTCCGTTAATGTATGTTTTTACACTAAGAGGCGCGCTGGAGATTTCTGTACATGGGTGGGCATAAATCAGCTGGCAAATTTGCAAAAAATTATATATTTACAATAAGTGTTCAAAATGTTCACCATTCATCTTAATACTCTTCAAAAAACACTTCATTCATGATATATAACCAGAGGGTGCAGGAATTATTAAACTACTTGCATCAACTTCGCCATAGTTGAGCCAATCGGCATCCTCAGGCGATGTGTTATTGTAGCGCACAATGCAGAAAACCTCATTTGTCCTTTTACCAGCAAGTCGCTGTGGGATGCACAAGTGTGAGATGTGAAATAGGTCCTATTGATTGCACATATTCTGTTCTTGAGTCGCATTGTAGTGATGGACAAAAGAAATCGTATGGCACCTGCTTAAATGCTTTCAATGGAGGCAACAGATCAAATTAAATCTCACAAGAAGTGGTGAAAACTTGCACAATCCTTTTTCTAACTGACTAAGTACCACGAGCTTACTTGGGATCTGCAGGAAATCCGGAAAGGCCAATTTCAATGCATTCCTCGAGAGGCAATACCAGCATTCGCCCGCGCATTGAATCACTTGTAAGAAATATTGTGATTCACTGATGTGAGTGCTATACCATGTCAGATTAAGTTCTGCTGGATCCCGAAAGCTATCTTAAGGCTTCCTGTATTCCACCGAAACATCGTAGTTGTCATTTTTCACGTTTTTTTTTTCAATTTTTGATTAAATTAACAACACTGAATACATCAAAGTGTTTTTGTGTATTACTGACAACGAAAACAAAAAATAAAAAGGACATACAATACAGTTGAAGGATTTCCCGTAAACCATAAACAAAAGGAACAAAATGTGTGTCCTTCCTGGTTATATTGTGTAATGCAATCGAGGGATTCCCCGTAAAACATAAACGAAAAGGATTGCTAACTTGAGAGACTTTAATTCCATAGTTTTTTCTTTAAGTGAAAAAACAATGTTACGTAACGCGTTGTTCGAACCCTCTCTCCCTACCCTATAACGCACCGTAACGTTTTACATCCCCTCCAATTGCGTTACTTAATACTTGAACGATCCCAAATCCATAGTAGTCATATCTGGCAACCTTGAAGACCACGGTTCGTAATCGGGATCCTGACAGTAAACCTGTTTTAATAGTACAATTACAAGTAGTTATAACACGAACGTTCTTTGCCATTTACTCGAAACAGGACCAAACGCACGCAACAAGAGTATTCGTTCGTTTGGAGGTCGACTAACATACTGTCTTATGCCCAGCCGGCCGCGTTGTTCAGTAATGCAGGTAATGAACGCTGAACTCCGGAAAGAGCCTTGGAATTCGCTCATGCGTCATTGTTTTATGCCCACCCCTGTATATTTGGAGGTTACTTCAAATACGATTTTTGTAGATCGGATTACATTTGAGATATTGCTTATAGATGCGGCAATCTCCAAAGTCTAGTGTAAGAACATCGATTGAGGCAGATATGCTACGATTTATATAGTTTTCGATGGTTAAAAATGAACAACCACTTTTCAACTCATTACATTACCTTTTTTTATACAAGTTTAAAGTAAAATACTAAAATCTAAAATGGTGTTATAGGTAGCAAATTCTTTGTGGATCCCAATTTGCTCCTGCTCAAAGCCACATCAGCAGCATCACTGCATTGTCTAACTCAGTGCATGAACATCCTACAGAGAAATCAACACACTCAGCAAGCAAGAACAGGGTTTGTTATTGATGATGATTAATATATTCTTCTTAGGCAATGTCTCGATGCATTCAGATGTGTCCTAAATATACCTAGATGTTGCTTAAAATGACTAGATAGAGATAGAGAACTCAAGACTTTATGTGGTCATATTCGTAAATTGTGGAGGTAGCTAGATGTTTCTTATTATAATTTTTGCAAACTACATATTATGAAGGTTTAAGTGTGTGATAAAGTAAGAAAGTTTTCTTTACATCTGTTTTTTATCGTAAATAGTATCAGTTTTAGGTCAGGGCATACATTAACTATATAATAATGAAATTTTTTAAATTATTTAAAAAATTCCTTTATAAAAGATATATTATTATAAAAACCCTATCGGGCTACATTACAGATCGTTTTCGAAATAACTATTCCATTATCAGTGCTATCTGGATGTACATGCTTGAAACCACTAAATAAATGGGTAAAAATATTTTAAATGTAATTAAATTAAGCAGTACCCCGATAGAGTTTTTCTACACTTGTCACTGACACTTCGTTAACTACAGGAATTTAGTTTCCTTGTTGATATAATAATGGTTTTTGGACTATTTGTTTATTGTTTTATCTTTTTCTCTATACATCAAATCTTTAAGAAGGTGATAAGATGAAAAATAGAAAATTTCTAAATGGAATATAACTTTTCCAAGAGTGGAGAGTGAAACAATGGACATAAGATATCCTTAGGAATGCAATTTAAAAGGTAGATGAAAATCGAAGCGAATTTAAATCTGTAGTATAAATCAACAATCTTTGACACAATTATATATTATCAAAAATAGTGTCAGAACAAGAAATTACTAGAAAAAGATATCGAGGTATCGTGCCAAATTCTAATAGGAGTAGACACTTTCACAAAATGACTTTTATTGGTTAACATTTTCGTGTAGAGCATCAAGTTAGAATCTATGGAGAGGGCATCACGTGACTAAAAACGACCTTACCTCGGCCATATTGTTTTTATTGTTTTGACACTTTTGACAGATCGTATATGTTTGTTTACATTTGTTTTTCGAATATTTTTAGTTTTATAATACTTTTATAGAAACTGCAATAATGTATTGTAATAGTGCATAATAATGTTTTCTTGTTCTCAACGTAGTTGCAGAAGCAATGTTAAGGAATATCGTTCCACAGGTTAGTATACAAATATGTAAACAAAGTAATGGCCCGTACTTCAGAAAAGAAATTAATAGTATTTGCCACCGCCATATTGGTATTATCGTTAGCCACGCCTACCTACGCCGTTTTTAATACATACGTTAATATGTTCATAGCTTCTCCATAGATTTTAACTCGATGGTGTAGAGTCTTAAATCCAGAGGTATAAAAGAAGGAAACAACAAACTCTTCTCAATTCAGTCTAATTTATTTATGACATTTGCAGTGATTTATAGAACTATATATAGAATATATTTTTATTGAATTGAATACTACCATTCGCCATTTACTCCTACACTTCTTCGGAGACCACTTGTGATCAGTCTTCCTTTTGGTCTGTGTTGAATACCATTTTTAAATTTATTTGATCATTAATCTATGCAAACTGTAATATCTTCATCATGTTAGAGGAAAAGTCCAAAGTACTGGCTCTTGCAATTATTGATCATTTAAGGAAAAATCAAAATTGAAGAGTTTGAAGGGTTTGACTATACCTCTAATTAACTGCTTAGAATAGCAATCATAATTTTCGAAATGAGTTATCTAACAAGCAAGAAGAAATTAAAATTAAAAGAAGAAAACTCAGCTGGTTCAATAACAACCTTACTTAACAGTAAGAAGCTTGGCGAGAACCAAAACTGAAAAACCTGAACAAAATAATTAGAAATATAATTAACGAAAGCAAAAGTAATTAGATAAGCTACGTTTATATCACCATCAGCACAGGGAAATCAATGTGTCAGACAGAGAAGTACCTTCAGGTAAGAGTGAGAACGATATATGTTGACACAAGCACAGCCCAAATATGGCCGCCGCTGGTAATTCGCTATTTTTTATTGTAAATTAATTTAGAAATAATTTTTGTAGTTAAACTATTATCCGCTATTCGGTGCTAGTAATTCGCCATAATGACTTGAAATATCTGCAAACATATTTCTTATTTCCTCCCCTATATTCGCCTTCAATGGATGAGTCCACACAATCCTTGATAAACAATCAATTACGTGACATTTGACATAATACGTGACACTTGACATAAAACGTGACATAATGACATAATACGCGAAATTTGACATAAAACGTGTCATTTAATATATCCAAATTGAAAAATCTGGTTGAGAAGATGGAATAAAAAAAATTAATAGATATAGAGAATCTCTAAAACTTTATTATACACTTTACCTTCTAAAATTTAGTTAAATGTTGTAGAGTTTTATGTTATTGGATGGTATTATCTAAATAATTACAAATCGTGTAGAAGTATTTTTATGTAAGTATAAATGTATATCACATTATATCATTTAAATAGATATGATATATCATTTGATACGATAAGCACAAAAAAACTTGACAATTTTTAGTTCGTATATTTCCAGGTATTTATTAAATTATACAGAATAAAGTATTCTTCTTCTTAGAGTACCGTCTCCCTACAGAGGTTGACAATCATAATGGCTATTTTTATTTTTGGAGTAAAGTATAGAACCAAGTAAATGTTTGAAAACAGAAAGACGATATTTATGAAACTTTGCATGCACGTACAGTGACACATTTGGTGCCATATTTTTTGTTATCACTATTTCCGGTGAAACCGGAAATATTCTCAACTTATATAATTTAAATGGGACACCCTGTATATTTTTGCGATTTCTAAAACAACTTGTTCTTTCTACAGTAAAATGTACTGTACATTTTGTTTATATAATGTTATGCATTCTGCAATTTTTGATTTATATAAAACAACAATGAGTAAATATTTGTTTCTTTGGAGATTAATTGCAATTAATTATTAGATATTTTTTTAGCAATTACCCTTTGATAGATTAGGGGATAGATTTTTCAATCGTCAAATCAGCAATTGCCAGATTACAACAGATGTTTGCAATTAATCTCGAAAAGACTAATATCTACCCGTTACTGCTTCATATAAATTAAAAATTGCAGAATTCATAAAATAGTGTAATCAAAATGTACTTTTTAAATGCTTTATCTCTTTATATATAAAAATAATTATCAGAGTATGCTTCTAGTTACCTTTAGTGAGGAAAGATGAAGTAAAAAAACAAATATTCGATGACACCATTTTTTACTTCGACGATCAACTTGATAACATCTGGTCAAATTTATCCACAAAATTGGAGTGGATCCCAAAAAGGTGGAAGTTGGAAAGTACTACTCTCCTATCCTTCCATTTTACTGCTACCAATCCAGAATCGCTGGTGGACCACTGATACTCTCATCGATTAATTTTTTATCTTAAAATTAAAATTAAATTTAATTTGCTCTGCATATAAATTAGTTTGGAATACCAAATGTTCAATAAAATCTACAACTAAAACAAATTATATGGGGTTGGATTATCAAGCTCTTGAATAAAGTCTGGTACTCCAGAAGAATGTGTAAAGTTGGAGAAATAGATAATTGACCAAGTTGGAGGTGTATAAGCAGAAGCATTATTTTCCGGTCTAGGAGCTCTAGTAATATCTGTTGTCTCCTCTATTGGCAAGCCAGACTTAGACTTTTCACCTAAAACTGTTATAAATTTCCTCGACACCTGCCGTTGTAGTTTCAACCGCTTCGTGATCTTTATTTTTCAGAATCGTTCACTATCGATTCAGAATCAGATGGTATTGCCTACACCTTCATCTTATTCAGTTCCGTTTGAAATTCGTCTATCGTAATGCCAATTAGAGTAGAAGGTATATTATCGTCTTTTCTCAATCTTGACATTTTCCTAAATAGAAATTAATTTTGTATAATATATGCTTAGCGGTGTTACGAATATTGTACCACGAGAAAACTTTGTGGATTTTCAATTGTCACACAAATATCAATTACGTTAATTATTACTTACCTAGCAACCTTAGCACATGTCTTGAATACAATTATTTTGTAAATACTTCAGTTCAAATATTTCACTAACTTATTAATAAAAAAGTGTCGACAGTCTTCAGTACACGATGAACTGACAATAAAATAAAGTTTATGACTAAAGGGTGCCATAAAATCTGGATTTAAGCATGCCAGTGTGTTTGCCTAGTCTCCATTAAATGGCTGTTACATTGGTCGTAAAACTGTACCACTACAATGTAAACGAGACCGATTTAAAAAGCTGGCAAATTTATAAGACCACCGCCGCTTAACAATACCGAAGAAGGATGGCGGCTCAAAGAGTTAGAGGATAGGTTAACTATCAAAACAAACATGAAGCGTTGAGCAGCTAAGGTAGCTCCTCTTATTGGTTAATACTGAGTGTGGACAGTATATATCTTAGAATCGAACAATAACCTAGATCCTCCACCTAATTAATGCTGTAATCAAATTTACATTGGCACCCAACGTGCTACTTAGCTACTCTCTGAAAGTTGTCAATGCGTAAGAATACAACTTCAACTTTATTTGGGAGCCAATTGTTAAGCTTAGTCTAGCTCAGTCTCTCACTTATGTCTGGCTCTCAAGTTTTAATATTAAATAGAAACAAAGCAAACCCTGCCTATAGCTTTACACAAATTTGAAATTGATACATATGGCTTCATCTAGTTGACGGATAACTTGTTGATGGCTTCAGATGCTAGTTGATGGATTTTAGCTGAATGAGTATATTTCAAGTTCCTGGAGATGCCGGGGATCGAACCCGTTGTGGTTTCAAGCGGCTATTGAGTTCTGCAGGATATCTACTATGCTGCTGCAGTTGGCATCACATATGTAGTTAACCACAAGGCTTCAGGAAGTTCCACCAAAAAGTGGGAACAAGAAAAATTTATTTAGGCCAGAAACTAAAATGAGAAACGTTGTGTTAGCAAAGTGTACGTTTT